ATTGCGTAAGGTCGTGGGTTCGAGTCCGATCTCAGAGTGCCAGGGACAAAGTGGATTTTGTATGCAATTTTATTAAGAATATTTTTCATTACAGCATTTTGAATGGAAAATTGATCAAATCTAATAATATGAAACTATTTATATAGTTATCTTGTATATCGAGATAATTTGTAGTTCACGACTGGAATAAAAATATTTTTTCCTATAAATGTAATAGAAGAATATTATTAAAATAGAAAATAATTCATTAATATTACTATATTTAATATATTTATATTATAATAAATTTAATAGAAATATTAAATATTAAATTAGTAGAAATATTAAATTAAAGTTACAAGTTAACAGCAACAGGATTCATTAATCAGTACTAAAAGCCAATGCAACTAATTACAATTAGATATATTGAAGGGAGCGGTAATTGTGCTAGGTAATACCCTCCCCCCATGAAACAGGAACCTACAGCTTTGTGTGGGCTTTATTAATACCAGGAAATTATGTGGGTAAAAAATAAATGGGACTAAATAAAAGGGGATGTATCAAACAGTTATTTTTTGTGTTATTTTATGATGGTGTTTGTGCAGAACAAGAGTCCTATTCTGTTTCTCTGAAAACGATATTTCGTATGTTTACGAAATACTAAAACGACATTTTTCGATGATTAGGTAAACGGAAGTAGGACCCTACACTGCTTCTGATGCACAGATAATCTTCACGGAACTAATTTTAATAAAATTGTAAGAGCGTAGCTCAAGGTCGCTCAGAGGGCAATAGAAAGGGCTACTCTAGGGGTTTCTTTGCGAGGTCGAATCAGAAATGATTAGATCCACAAAAAAACGAAAACCACTGACATAGCCCAAAGAATTGGGAACCTCAAGTGGCAGTGGGCAGGGCACATCGCTTGCAGGACTGACGGCTGTTGGGGCGGTAAGGTCCTGGAGTGGTAACCGCGTACTGGGAGACGCAGCGTTGGTAGGCCCTCCACAAAGTGGACCGACGATCTCGTGAAGGTCGCGAGAAGCCGCTGGATACGGGAGGCGCAGGACCGATCACTTTTGAGATCTTTGGGGGAGGCATTTGCCCAGCAGTGGGCGTCTTTCGGCTGAAATAATAAGGATGTAAGAACGTAGCGAAATTGTACGAATCTTCGTTCGTGGACAAATAGAATAGGCTCTCAGATCTACCAACTCCGTCGATGACCGAATGCACGATTTAAACTTATCGTGAGTAGTGTTTTTATTTAACATAAGGTCTAAAATGCATTAAGCATCAGTCTCTCTCACACTTAGCGGGTGTTAGGCGCGTGAATATTGGTGTATCGTCCGATGACGCGTAACTTGGATCCTTCTGATTGGTCGACATTCAGGACCACGCTTCGAACGCATCATCGAACACAGCACTATCACAGCTTTAAATATCCAATCAAATAAAATCTGTAGATATATTACGTATTTTAATCAAAGCCTTATAGTTATTTAATTTATAGGTACAGAGAATCAGAAGCCATAGATATAAGTGTACAAAGATTGGCACAGATTTTCCTAAGGGTGTGATTGGATTATCCGTATTAGATCTAATTGGAAACGTTTTTAATTATATAGAAGATACGTCGTAGTCGTATCTACACTATTCATTATTTTTATAACTAACTTAATATACTCGTATTACGGAGTAGACAGCTCTAAACCAACATAGGGGCTTCTTGAGCGTATTCCCTGCACGTGTAGTACTCGAACGAATTCGAGAACCTTCTGTCTACAGCCAAATGTCACTTTCTATACCCCTAAACGATATCTCAGTCTCGGCCCGGGAAACGTGACGATATGTGTAGACAAAGCCTTTCTCGAGTTTGTCATGCTTCGCGTGCAGGTTCTGGGCCTTGGGGGAATCAGAGTACATTAGTAAATAGGACTAGAGGAGGGCGGAAAGTATCCAGGATCCTGCAAGGAGAGTTCAGGCCCAACCCCAGTTTGGGACCATTTTAAGGTGCTCCACTGCGTGCGCCATCGATTGCCCCAAAGCTTTCGCTCAACAGCCATTCCTCCAGCGGGAGGAGCGGTGAGAGCGAGAATATCTCTCAAACAAAATCATTAGAATTGATCCACTTCTAAAGAAAATATTGCCAAACATACAAACAAACGTCGAATAGAAAACCTCCTTTCTTTAGAAACTCAAAAGTTGTATAATTGTGTTCTGTGATTGCTGATTATAAATTAATATGAAACATAGTTTTCTGAGGTAAAGAATTGAGTATCAGCATTTACGGCATGAAATATTCGTGCCAAACTATATTTCCCATTATGGCGGTGACCTAGAGACATACTCTCTATGGTTCAGACGTCAGACATGGCGGCGACACTCACTGCAGCATTTGTTCAAGGCCAAATGTTCTTTTGGCGCCAATGCCAGATGTTTTTATATTTCTATAGGAAGTCCAAGTGGATATCATATTATTTCATGATTAAACAGAGCTTTTGGATGTTCTTACCACAAATATATTTCGTACCGACATATCCATATCATACATACATACGGTAAATAGTACCCTATATGTTAATCCATGCTTATAATATATACATTCAAACTTACAAATTTTGCTCTTTATAATATTAGTAAGATACATCTAAGCTTATTCAAGCTCAGGTTTAATATACATTCAAGCTTACTCAAGCATGTAATAATCGATCCTACAAACACCCTTTGCAGTGTCTGGCGCCCAAAAGGGGCTTCTGTTGGGTTTTATGTTTTACTGTATCTATGTTGATTATGATGCCACAAATATTAATTAAAAAAATAATTAATATTGTCAGTCAAGTCACGACTCTCACTTCGTTATGACAGCGAAATTATTGACATTTGCCATAGCGAACGAGAGCTTTTCACGACTATGGAATAAATTAGATTTAATACTTTCACAATGACTTGACTAATTACATTTGTAATTAGGTTTTTAATTGGTATTATAATCAATTGCAGTGCTGTGGAGTAATCGGTGTGTAATATATGGCGCGTGAAAATATTTAGTGTGATAAAAAGTATTATCTGTCAGCTAATACCCTATTTGTATACTAAATTTCAACAAAATCCATTCAGTAGTTTTGGCGCGATTGACGGACAAACATCCAAACAAAGAAACTTTCACATTTATAATATTAAAATAGGATAATGAACATTTGAAATAATTTAGAATGTTATTTAAAACAAGTGTAATTTTGTTTAAAATAACAAAATTATGATAATAGCCATTATTACAAATGTTCATTATATAATAACGTTATTGATATGCAATTATATAAAAAGTTGCTATAACAAATGAAGCGCACCTATCTGTGATGCATATTTCAATTCAATTAAACAAAAAGGTCAGTAGTTTCGTGGTTTTAATCTTTTATTAATAAAGTTTTTCTGAACCTTCTTAGTATTTTTTGTCCATTCAAACTATTACCAGGAAAATTTAAATTCTTTGGTAATTTCCAAAGAGGTTTTTAGAAGTCAGCATTATTTGCTTTATCATAGTAATTCCATTAGAAATTTAATATTGTAATATCGCCATTGTTCATTGTGTGATTGTAACCTTTTGCAACCATACCGTATAATTTGGAAGTATTGAGAGTGCAAGCAAGTACAAGGCCGATACAGAAACGCAGGGGAACGTTTATTAATCATATGCAAACCATAGACCTGACTTAAAATAAAAAGTATGTTGTTTAGGTATAACAGTTTTAGATGCTTTTTTCTTTTTTGTAATAAAAATGAAAACGTATAGAAGTCCTTCATTAATTTTATAATTTTGACGGAAAGAAAACAAAGGAAAAATAACTGTTGCAAACATTTTGCGAAGTAATTGTGTTTTTTTTAAATATAACCTTTTCTAACAAACCATACTATTCACATTCCTTATGTCTCGTTCACTGTTGATTTCTTGACGTATTATTTGTCTATTCGCTTAAAAAAATATAAAAAGCATAATGATGACGTCATTATTAATTGTCTGTGGTACCGGAAGTGACTTGGTGCATATTGTATTGATGAAGGCGCCGAGGGGGCGCGACTCAGGTAACGTGACGTGTAGTTATTACTATCGCTTAGGGTTAGGTTGATTTGAGTTACTTTTGGAGGTGTGTACTATTCTGAATGACATAAGCATCGTAAGCAAATATATTAGAAAATGTTTTGTATAGAATACAATTGATTGTACCAAATGAAAATGGTGCAAATACTGTTGTAATCTCTAAACTAAAAAAAAAATCGTACGAATTAACTTGACACCAATAGTGCGATTGTCTAACTGTCTCGTCATTATTTTAGCCATAGGATACGACATCTTTTCCATGTTATAACGATATTTCGTTTCATGTTACTACTTTGACATGTCTTTTGGTGGATTTGGGATAACTAACGGCCAGTTGCACAAAAGTCCATTAAGGTTTAATGATGCCTTTGAGCTCTAATGATTGTCAAATTGGTATGGGTAATGTCGCTTTGAACTAATGACAATTTATATATACGTTTGTGGAACTGGCTGTGAGTTGGTAACGCTGCTGTCAAATCCATGATCATCATTCTTTAACATTCGTTCGTCGTTAATAAAGCATACGTCAAAGTAGTAACAAGTAGAAATATCGTCATAACATCGCTAAGATCTCGTATCCCATAGCTAGAATCAAGGCTAGAGAGATAGGCGGTCGCACCTCAGCAGGTCTATTCTATTTTTACAAAATTCTCCTATTTCCTTAATGATTATTCAACTTTAAGGAAACGTATTTTTTATTAATTTATTAGGCAATTTCTAATGCACATATAAACGTTACGGTCATGATTTTAACAAAGTTACAAGAACGTTTCGAAACTTTCCTAATTTCTATTGGAGGATAAATAGAATAAGCCCTCAGGTGTCATTTAAATTCGTATAAGTTATATATTAGATATCACTTATATTGCTGTATGTATGCTCTATACTGTGAATGTATCTAATAATTATTAATATTTTCCGTTTCCAGAAAATGCCCCGAGAAGGAGTCGTGCGAGGCGGACTGCGTGGCGATAGGTAGCAGATTGCGCGGCGCCATGGGCACCCGCCCGCCGGCACACTTCTGGCCACAACTATGGGCTACAGTCGTCCGGAATCTATTACTAAAGAAGAGGGACACAAGGAAAACCCTAGCGGTACTTTTAGTTTGCATTAATAACTACAAATTTGGTAGTAACTACATCTCATTTAAGTATTGCATGTTCTTTTCTTGGAAACCTATTTTTCCGTTAACCAAATTTCGTTTACTTTCAAAATCCTATCTAATACGACTTCAAAGAAACGTATTTTTTGATTATTCATGTTGCAACGGAGGACCTGACATAGCCTCTGGTGCGCAGATAATCTTCACGAATATGATTTTCATAAATTCATAAATACGTTTCGAAATATTCTGAATTTTTATTTGAGGACAAATAGTCTTCAATCTTCATTCAGGTGTCATGTTAATTCATTTGAGTTATTATTATATATTAGACTAGCTGTTTTGAGCTGCTTCGCCTGCGTAAATTATAGCCTATGTCACCCTCGCATGATTTAGCTTCCCGTAAGTGAATTAATTTTAAAATCGGTCCGGTAATTTCGGACCCTATTTGATGCAAAGAAACAAACAATCAAATCTATCATATTAGTATAGACATCACATACATTGCTGGGTTCCCAGATTAAGTAGCTAAAGTAAGTGTATTATGGAAATATGTGAAACAACGAAGGCAACAATACCCAGAACAGAGACAAAAGAAAAAAGTTCTTTTTATACATTCCGTTGATCGGGAATCAAATCTGGGACCGCAGTGCTAGCGACACTATTAAAGAATGATGATTATAGATTTGAGGGCAGTTTTACCAACTTAGTCGTTTATCTTCCATAGGCAAATCAAAGCAGTAAACTAAAACTAATTTTCGCCATGACATCGAGAGATGTCGTATCTTATGACAAGAGTCACAGTTAGGACTTTGTACCCAGGCTTAAACATCTAACGCTTTATTTTATATAAGAGTGCAATCATGTAAATTAATATTATTAAATTTCCACTATTATTATCTACAGATGACATTGACACAACATTATAAGCGAATCTCTTTGTCGTATTTAAGGAAGTACTAGTGCCTCTCTACTCCCTCGGCGTGCTGATATTCCTGAAGATGCTGGTACCTAACCCTAACTTCCCAGAAGTGAGGAAGCCAGGTCGTCTGCTAAGGATCCACCATGACGCATTCCCTGAAAATCATTCTGTTGCTGTGGTGGCGGACTGGCAAAGCGCTAATGGTACCTTGGTATGTGACCAATGATGTAATGTAATAAATAACACTTCACGTTTAATTTAACTATTTATATTATAATGGTTTGCCTTGCTGAAGCTTGTAGAATCACAAAGTTACCCCTAATATTAATCATTCTTCTAATATCCGCTACCATAATATGTCAAATTTTCTCAACTGATTTTGAATTCTACCTACAATGCATTGAGGTTTCAAATCAAGTGGAGAAAATCGACACATTTGTATAACCTGACGTGCTTTTGATGGAGCAAAAATTCGAAGAAAATATGTATTTACAAATCTTATTTTCTCCCATTTGATTTACATGACTATTGCTTTATTTTTTATTTCTTGACTATCTGTTTCCCACGACTTCGCTCGTATAAAATATAGCACCATGGTATAATGTAGCTTGTGTAAGTGAAAGAATTCTTATGATCGTATCAGTATTTCCTAATACCACCTACAAACAAACAAAGTTAGATATTTACTTCTTTATAATATTGAAGTCAATACGACATGATTCTTACTTTCCTTTGTTTTACTTAATCACATGAAGAAACAAGTTTTTCCCATACCTAATTTATTTTAGATCTTCTCCTACCTCTTTTACCTTTGTAAAATATTCACTACATGGTCATAATAATATCTTGTTCAGGCTTTTTTGGACGAGATCAACTCGATGCTGGTGGAGTCCGGACAGCACGGTATCCAGTGGATAAAGTACAACAACACTACGGAGCTGAACGACGCGTACCACAGCGACGCACGCCATTTCCCTATCGCGGTTATATTTCACACAGACCCCAGCTCTTTCGAGGAACCTCTTCGGTTAGTGACCTTAGTAGTTACGTCGCAGTTAACTGGCTAAAGATTGGTAGTTCAAATTGCCACGTGGAGATTAAGCAAATTTTATAAGAGCCGGTTATAGGTTGCGTGGCGGAAAAATTTATATCGCGAGGTCATCCGTGATTCGATAGGCTCTTTAAGTGATTAATAACCACTATCTCGTATCGGTCCACATAGGTTATGGACCATTTTCCTATTTACTTCCATGCAGCCCAGCGGTGGGAATATCAACAGGCCGATTGTGATCATCTGGTTAACACATATAAAGACCACATGACATTCATTATTTAGACGCTATAATATAGCTAAAGCCCCTGAGCTACTAAAATACAATACTCAAATCCGAGACGCCAGATTGCCAGATGCCAGATTAGTATACTTCAGTTACTTTCATAGTGTAATGTCATACGGACTCCTATTGTGGGGAAATGCTGCCGACATACAAACAATTTTTGTGCTTCAGAAAAGAGCAATTCGATCAATTTATAATCTTAGGATTAGGGACTCTTTAAGGGAGAAATTTAAGGAAATAGACATTATGACTGTTGCTTCTCAATACATATACGAGAACTTAATGTACGTTCGTAAAAATATTAGTTTGTTTTCTATAAAAAGTGATGTACACAATTTTAATACAAGAAATAAAAATAAATTAACGGTGCCTGTCACTAGACTGCAAAAAGTTAATAACTCATTCAAGGGTCTTTGTGTACGCTTCTACAATAAGGTCCCAAGCAAAATACAACAATTAGATATCATGCAGTTTAAATCTACTATTAAAAAAATACTTATTAAAAAAGCTTATTATAAGGTATCCGATTATATAACAGATAAGAACGCTTGGACTTGAGATGATCCAGCAACTGGATAGGTGATTACTTCTAAACTCATTATCTTGTTTCCATTATTATTAAATGATTATGTTATCATTATAAGACCATATTTATTTATTTTTTCTCTATCTCTGTTTATAATGTATAGATCTGGTAATGACATGGTTTTTGTAAATGTCATTACTCTTATTAGAGCTGGTGAGTTTCTTGCTCGTTCTTCTTATCGGCCAAAAGACGTCCTGAACGATTGGTAGGGAAAAAATGTTGGACGATTCAAAAGTACTTTTAGGAAGTCTATTTGAATAAAGATTATTTTGACTTTGACTTTGACTTAGACAAGAGAGAAAATTCACCAGTCTCCGGTGCCTGATATCTCGGGAACTTTGGACTAATTAATTATTTTTAGCCTTTTCTTTAACATAAATATCAAAGTAGCATTATGAATGCAATATCGATCAAATATATAACAAGAGAAAAATACAGTTTTTACATTAATCCAATCCTACCAGTACCCGCGAATCGTACCTGTTAACGTATGTTTTTAAACGGGAGACCAACTGTGTAACTAAACTAGTCTAGCCATAAATTATGTTACTAACTGTTTACATACATTTGAAAAAAAAAACATTAATTTAAATTTCGAACATAAGCTTCTACGATAAAAAATAGACTTTCCCGCCATTATAGTATGTTTTTTGATTGGAAATTATTTATTTTGAAAATGGAGTGGAGTACTAAAAAGAATAAGATTGCAGTAATTGCTCTGTACAAAGAAGTTAAGGAGCCAGCCGACATTTTTGATACTTTGAAAAAGCTAGGGATTAGCCGAATGTTTGTGTGTCGTACTATCCAAAGGTACACTCAAACCATGTCTGTTGATGACCGTGAGAGATACGGCCGACCGCGGTCTAATCCCATAAGGAAGCAGAAAATCCTTTCCAGAGAAATGAGAATCCCACCGAGTCTTGTTTGATAATCCGAGTAAGTGTTTCTCGGATTATCAAACAAGACTTAGGTCTAGGAGCTTACCTGACATACACAAGACATACCTTAAATCAGGCACTACAAAAAAAAGTGACTAGATCAAAATAGCTGTTATTTCGATGCGCGTATGAAAAACAGAAAAAAATCCTTTATCGATGAAAATATTTTTACAATCGGGGAGCACTACAACAAACGAAATGATTGAGTCTATACATACAGCTCTAAAGAAGCTTCCGAGGTAGTGGCCAAAGTTCAGTGAGGCCATCATGCAGCATACGTCATGGTTCGGTGGGTAGTCTCCTACCAAGGGGTTACGAAACTTCATTTTTGCGAAAAGGTAAGGTAAGTGAAAACTTCAGCCAAAGTATATCAAGATACCGTGTTAGAAGCGTCAGTTAAACCGCTCCACAACACCTTCAAAAACGAAGTGTGGACATTCCAACAGGATTCAGCTCCGGGTCATAGGGCGCGCACTACCCAAATTTGGCTTGAGCAAAATGTTCCAGACTTCATAAAGGCAGCAGTGACCAAGTTTCCAATGGAAACCGTTCGTAAATCCATCGAAGAATGGCCCCACCGTTTAAAAGCGTATGTTAAAGCTGAGGGTGGACACTGAATAACTTGTTTAGTACGTTTACATTTCTTTTTCACTCTTCATAATCACATATAAAACTTTTAAATAAAATTATTTTTTTACAAATTATCGGATATTTTCTTTGTAATAGAACTTATGGCTAGGCTAGGTATCTTTTAAACTTCAGCAAGAAGCAAATAAAAAATCTATGTGCTAATTTCTAAAGAACGATTCAAAAAATTCAGGAAATAAATACAAAGGGTAAAAAATAAATTTTCCCACGCAGATACACTATCCGCACTAACCCCTCTGATATCGGCACACCGTCAACGCGTACTCTGACTACATCCCCTGCGAAATGTCGAGAGAGAACTGCCAGTAAGGATTGGTCGTCAGACTGGTCAAGAGGTGGCCAACTCATTCCGTTATCGGAGATGCACAGAGAAGATACCTGCCCAGTACTACAATACTACTACTCCGGCTTCTTGGCTCTTCAGACTCTTATTGATTATATCAAAATCAAGGTATAGTATTATAGTACCATTACATATTTTTAAATTATCTATTGATTCAGTTCAATTTATATATCCAGAATGTAGTTCAGTGGTCTTTATGTTGCGAACCATGCTAATTTATCTTTATAATGATTGGCATAGAATATGACAGAACAAGATACCGTTTTGTCTTTGATATGTCATGTATCTTATTTAACCTATCCTATTAATTTTATAAATGTTATATTATGAAAAATTGATAGTAATCACTTTGCAAAGAGCAATTTGCAACGTTTTTACAATAATCGTAATAGTTTGCAATTAATTTATTAAATACCGTTTTTTTCGCACAATTCGTAGCTTGTGTCCCTGCCCGCGCCATTGTCATGTGCAATGAATAGCCATCTCAATCTAGCAATGCCCTCTAAACTATTATTAATTAGCTCTTAATTGTACGCAGTCTAATCATTTATTACAAATATTTTTTATATTAGGTGGACACTGGCTCCCCATTTCCACCTCCCCGCATCGACCTTCGGCAGTTTCCAAAACGACAGCATACAGGTGATTGGCTGGTGATATTCCGCGTCATAATGCCTATGTATATGGTGATGACGTTGTCACAGTTCATTACTTATTTACTCATGTTCGTGGTTGGAGAGAAGGAGAAGAAAATCAGGGAGGGGATGAGGATTATGGGCTTGAAGGACTCTGTTTATTGGTAAGCTTTAACGTTATTACTCGTACATACTGTAAAAATATTACCAAAACATTAAAAATAATATTGTAATTTAACATTTGGATATCATGTTTATGGTACTGTTCTAAATTTAAAGCGAAATTAAATCAGAAACGTACCAGAAGTTTGTCACTACTTCTTCTCCTTTCTATGGGCGTCTCCGTAACTCGACGGCAAAATTGCGCCCGTTTTACATGTACCCCTTACCAATTTCTTAATCTATCTTTATTTGAATCATTTGAACAGTTTAATTGAAAGGTATGTTATTACCTCGTGTGTTCATAAGTTTTGAGACAAACTTTTTACTGAAAAAATAAAATAAAATGTAACTGCTGTTATTTTTGCTGTTAACTTTTAGTTTATTTGTATCGCCATAACGAAATACGTGCAACTGCCATTTCGTTATTTAAGGCGGGAAAAAAACGATTCGGCGCCATCCTATAAGGCAAAAAGCACCCAAGCTTGGTTGAGCGAGAATGTGCCGGCCTTCATCGTCGAGAACGAGTGGCCCTCCTCCAGCCCCGACCTCAACCCAATGGATTATTCTTTATGGACTGAATTAGAGCTCAGGGCCTGCCGAAAGTCCCACCCAAACTTGGAGTCAATGAAGCTAACCCTTGTCTGAGAAGCAAAGCTAATTCTGCTAGAAAATATTCGTGCTGCATGTAATGGCTGACCAAATCGTCTAAGGGCCTGTATTAAAAACAAGGGCGGGTGTTTTGAATAAAATATACCTATATTGTATTGTTGATTATTATCTATTTAATGGTTACTTATTAAAAATTTTAGAAATATAAGTTACTTAGTAAATAAGTTACACAACTTCTTTCGTCTCAAATCTTATGAACAAATGAATAAATTACTATAAGACATCATAATTCAGGCCCAAATTAAGAAGTTTTGATGTACATATACATATATATAATAACCACTGAAGGCAACTAAAGATTTTTTGTAATATTTGCAAATATGTCAAAGCGATATTCGTTATGAATAAATTATTTGAGCAGTTATCAGCTTGTCAACAAAATCTTGTCTTGTTTCAGGGGTGCTTGGTTTCTAATCTACGCAGTTTTTGTTACTATATTATCTATAGTCAGTACAGTTCTACTCTTCACTCTAAAGGTAAGCATGAAATTAGATTATATTTTGACATATCCATTGGAATCAATTTCATTTTATATATTTTTAACATTTTCATTCTAACTACATATCACGATTAGGTTCACGAAATTAATGGCTCTGTATATTTAACTTCTCTATCTATATTTTCGTCGATATTATTTGCCATTCCTTTGTGTTTAAATCCGTTAATTATGACCGATTTCATCAGATATTCTTTCATTCTCTTCCAGGTGTTTCAACATTCTTCTTACATCCTGATTTTTCTTCTGATGCTTCTTTTTGGGTTCACCATCATCACGTTCGCGTTCATGCTGACTCCATTCTTCGATCGTGCCAGGGTAAATAGATTTGTTATTAGAAAAACGCTTTTTATTTTATAAACCTCAATTATTATGAAATTATGGATGGGTGAATTCGAGTTGTTAATAAGCAGCAAAACGAAAATCTGTTATAAGAAATAATGAGGATTTTTAATATAATAATGAGGGTAAGTTCGTCTGCATCACAGATTTCATCAGAAGTTGAAAGCGGAATCTTTAATAGTTGGCAAACTCAGACACTGCATTCTAGGTACTTGGTTTGGATTGTTTTTTGAGAACATGGTTAGGCTAATGTTACACATAGATAACTTGAAAAGTATTTTGATTTATCAAGAGATTTAATTTTAATTATAACAATAATTCTAATTTCATAAATCAACTGTCAATTCTCTGTTCCAGACGGCTGGTATCTTGGGTAGTTTCGCGGTAAACTTGATGAGTGGGCTGTACTTTATACAGGTGTTCGTTTCCAACGCCGATTCACTTGCCTTTTGGTTTGTCTCCCTGATCAGCTCTAGCTGTTATGCCCTCGCCATGGATAAAGTAAGTAACACTGTCACTTAACAACATAACTAATAAGTTTGAATTCTTCATTATGTTTGTTTATTTATAGGCATTAGTGTTGGATATGGCGGGGGTGGGCGTTACGTGGGACAACTTGTGGAGTGGACCAGGAGTCCCATTCGGAGGCAGCCTCATCATGATGGCACTCGATACTGTGCTTTATGGACTAGCTGCCTACTGGCTAGATGCAGTCATACCGAGTGAGTCTAGTGTTGACAACATACAAGTATATTATTTTTGTTTATATAATCTAACTATGATTCACAGGGCTACGTGTCAGATTACCACAAAATGTTTTTATAATTGTAACAATATGTCTTCATTCTCGATTGAGTTGAGAGTTGATTTTAAAGTCTACCTTTTTAAAGAAGGTTTTATGTAAGATAGAAAAATTTTACAGAGATGTATCACCCGAGACTGCTTAAAGTCGTCCTCTTCTCTGAGACCTTTGATTCCTCCAAAAAGAAACAACGGATTTAGGAATTTGAATCTAGTAATAATATAAAGTTATAAAGCTATACTAATATTACAAAGAGGAAAGATTTTGACTGTTGGTTTGTATTGAAGAGGCTTCGAAATAATTGGTCTAATTTAACAAAATCCTTTAAGTACGGGTAGCTACATGATACGTGAGTGACAGATAATGATTATCGTGGACGAAGCGTGGGAAAATGGCGAGTATTTTTATATAAATGTCTTGTTTAGGTGAATATGGTATCAAGCAGAAGCCATGGTTTTGTTTGCTACCATCATTCTGGTTGGGAGGACGGCGCGCGCGCGTCTCTAACGTCCATCTACATTCTAATGGGGATGCCGCACATAATAAGGACATTGAACCGGTGCCCAGGTAAATATCATTGACAAAATGCATATCTATTCAAATGTGTCAAAATTGATAATTTGGTTAATGAACGCATAAATGTACGATTGAAGCAATGCAATAACAATACACGTATCGCGCCTTTTCATCAGAATCTGTTATGAACAATAAAGATTGATTTGATTTTATTCGACGACCAACTTACTTCAGTTCGAATACTTGTAATAACGCAATAAATATAGGCTTCATATGTGAACTTGGAGCCGTACTTTTAAAACCAATTTGTGATACATCGCGAACTTCATCATGTCTGGCCCATTCTACTGTTCTTAAAGCAGGACAGACAATGAAAAGGCAACGATATATCGAATGACAATTTTAAAAGTTCACACCCAAATAATTTAAAACCTATTTTTTAAGAACTCCATGATGTGATCAATCTAAAATCAAAATTTTAATAACTTTGTTTAGTCCTATTGATTTTATAGTCTTTTTACGGTATGACCAATGATTTTAATGAATCAATATAAATATTGTTTACAGAGAACTCCAAGACAAAGAGGCGATACGCATCGTTGGCCTCCAAAAAAGTTTCCGCCATTGCCGTAGGCCGGAGATCAAGGCTATTGACGGCATCGACTTGAGTATTTACGAGGGCCAGATTACCGCCATATTGGGCCATAATGGTGCTGGCAAGTCTACTCTATTCAACATACTTACTGGATTGACGGCACCCACTGCTGGGACTGCATATGTCTATGGATTAGATGTGAGGTCAGTAGTATTAAATGTAAATTTATTGAAGGAAACTTATCGACTTACACCCATTCAAGACATATTTTGAATGTATTTATGATGTTACTGAGACCTTTCTGGTTGAATTAAAGAATTAAGTGATTAATATGTCACCAGAAATACATGATAATTATAAAGAATTTAACTAATATATTCTAAAAACACGGCTTCTTAATAGGTTAGGATTCTACGAAGATATTGGGTTTAGTGTGAGTTTACAAACGTAACATTACGCAAATCCCAGAATCCAGTGAAAAATCTGGATCTGATATGGATTTTTTTTTCAACCCTATAAAATACTTGTTTTTATATTTAAGCAAATGTTACATAATATTAAAGCAAAAATTAATTTTCCTTCTTCATCTCTCATTTTCAGGGACCCCAACGATATGCATGAGATCCGACAAATGATAGGAGTGTGTCCACAACAAGATGTGCTGTTTGATTTACTCTCCGTCAAGGAACATTTGGAATTCTTTTCTGCTGTTAAGGTAGGTTTAATTTTCAAGAATCGCTATAAGATTTCCCCGATGGAATTGGTGAAAACCCTGGCAATATGAAATATGAAGCACACTTTACATTGCATGCTAGGGCACTAATGTGTAGATTACATACAAGTGAAATCGAATAATAAAATTTAAGAAGCCTATGGTCTTGAATTAAACATGAAGCTAGGACTAGAAAAATAAACATCACGTAATACCGGGTCGGTAAGATCCGATTTTACCTATCCTTTTCTAGAGTCACCAACTTTGATAGCGTATACTCTCAAGGGTGTATTCTAAAAAAAAACGTATTTATATATATTTCAATAATATTGTAACTAGCTAACAGTAAGAAAAATGGTAGACTGCTTACTCTAATAGTTAAGTTTTTCAAATATTTATTTCTTTTTTACGTACATAATAAAAAAAAAAACCTTTTTTATTTAGGGTATTCCTCGAAAACGTCATGCGGACGAGATTCATAAGGCATTAGCTGAAGTGGGTCTTCTGGAGCAAGCAGGGGTGTTTTCTAAGCATCTCTCCGGCGGACAGAAGAGGAAGCTTAGTATAGCTATCGCTTTTATAGGCGATCCTAAGGTTTGAGGAGTTTTATGCTTTGAGAGGTTTCCTTTTTTGTTGAGGTTATTATAAAAATTTATTGGTCAGTAAACAGAAAAATTCTCGTTAATTTTCGTTTTCTCTTTGATCTTAAATTTATTCGATTATATTATTTCCTATAACATTTGCAAACATTATTTTTGATTTAATCTTGATCACTTTACATATTATAATGAAGTGAAATTATTATGCTTTCGGAAATTAGAAGCAGACAAAATATAACTCCTTTTGTGTACAAAACCATTTAAAAAGTTGTTTTATTTCTTCCCCTAAACGTAGAGTCAAGAATCGAAATTATTCCATTTCGTTACAGATTATTATTTTGGATGAGCCGACCGCTGGAGTGGATCCAGTGTCCAGAAGACAGACATGGAGAATTTTGCAGCGTGCCAAGAGAGGGAAGGTGTTGCTTCTTACCACACACTTCATGGATGAAGCCGATATACTTGGGGACAGGAAGGCCGTTATAAGCAAGGGAAAGGTAACTAATTTAAGTATTCATTGGCTATACTTCGTTTAGGAGCTGTGATTAGCAGGTTTACAGTAATATTATAAAAAATACGTTTTTATTACAGCTTAATTATTTTATAAATCGTTACAGGTGCGGTGTGCAGGAACGTCGTTGTTTTTGAAGAACAAATTTGGCATTGGCTATCATTTGACATTGGTATTGGATGGTAAGTATATTCTGCGAGACCGATTTATCCATAAAGTACCACGTTGGGTGCCAATTAAATTATTATGTTACCAAACTGTCTCGGTGGCGGTATGTAACAATAATTGAAAACGATGGATGATTACTGTCATTCATTTGTATTTGCTGGTCAAGTAGCCGAGGGGTTCAGTCGCGCAATGGTTAGCATTTTTAGTCTTAGATTAAAAAACTTCCACTTACGTCAAGTAAACCTAAAATGTATTATTTCAATATCCTCAATAGTTTGAAAGATACGTTAAGTCGTTGGTTCCGTTTGTTTATACAGTTGTTATTATGATCTACGTGGTAGATTAGGGCACGTTCTTGCGTGAGGGACATAAATAGGCTAAAGATCATCAGTAATATTTCTGCGGTGACCTAACCTAAGATCCAGGTTCTCGAGTGGAGACCACGAACCGGAAGACGCAGCGTGGGTCAACCCCCGACTAGATGGATGGACGATATCGTCCGAGTCGCGGGCGACCGCTGGATGCAGCTGGCGCAATGTCGTCCATCGTGGCGTTCAAAGGGGGAGGCCTATGTTCATCAGTGGACGTCTTCCGGCTGATGATGATGATGACGATGACCTAACACTGCGATTTAAAGTAAATGCATATTAGATTGAACATGTGTGTCGTCTCGTCGGTCGCGAAATTTCAGATCTGGCAAATACATGTATGATATAAATTCAACTTTATAACTTGACGGAACCGTCGCGAACTAACGCATGCATTTGTGAGATGCTTGACGGATTTTCCATTGATTTGTTCTGACCTTAAGTTAAGTATAATGTCATATTATACTACTCTTATAGAATCGCCTTATGTTTTATGCGTAGGTGCGTGCAGAGAACATCAGATCACGCGTCTGGTGCGTGGACATGTGCCACGAGCGGAGAAGGCGCGACGTCACGGCCGCGAGCTGTCATATATCTTACCACATTACGCCGTACATCTGTTCCCGCCACTATTCCAGGCCATCGAACACGAGATACGCGAAAAAACTAACAGGCTTGGTACGGCTTACGATGATTTGACATTTGTCATAATTTCGATGCTAACCCGTCATGATATGCAAAAAATTGGGTTCATATGCGAGGAATGCAGTGGTTACATAAAAAGAACATTTGTTCTGCAGTTCATTGTTGAATAACGTATTGATTACAAAACTTCCTTAGATTACGAAAACGCTTCGCGTCCACCTTGGTACTTGAGGCAAAAGATACATACCATTGCAAAAATAATAAAAATTCTTACATATTTAATTGAGTCTCTGATTTCAGGTATAACGAGCTACGGTGTTTCCATGACGACTCTGGAGGAGGTTTTTTTGAGTTTAGAAGGAGAAAACGCAGAAGAGACAGAGACGGTAGAAGGTGTGTCTTCGGTGAAACTTGTCCGCGCTCGAGCACTGTCTAGGAGTTTGTCCTTACAAAGCAAAACCTTAAGCTATCAGGTAAATGCATCTGTTTTCTGTATCCCTTAAGTATAAACTATTAAATGTTCTGGGGCCGAAAATGGCTTAACTTCTGAAAACTGTTTACATTAAAGAAAGGCGCTTATTGATCTGTATTCCAGTTAAGTTTAATATTTCATATTTTTAATAATTATTAAGTATTTTCAACTATTATTAACTTCGTTGACAGGAACTGAATGACAAGGAATCCCAAAAGGCTACGTCACTTCCCACACCGCCTGCATCACACGCGTTACATTCCACGACGCATGGAGTGGAGCATGTCAAAGTGGCGGTACATATATATTTGCATTTCAAGTTTATCTGATTTTCAACTATAAAGTTGTAATTTCTTCTCTCTAATATACAGGTTACTCCAGAAGCCCCTGTTTCGGTTGACGCTCTAAGCGAAACTGTGAAGACAAAACCTTCCTGTTGGAGAACTTTCTGTGCACTCGTGTACATCCGCACCGTCCGCATGATCCGAGATCCTTACAAACTTTATGTTATGATCTTCATGCCCATCAGTAAGTCGGAATATACGAGTAATTCAAACATGTCGTTTTCACATAAGTGTATTACATATCATAAATTAGGTAAAATTACTTACACATAAGGTTTGTAATTTACCTATGATTAATGTCTGGAAAATATCTCTCTGTAACTGTAATTGTAACATTTTTTATTTTCAGTTTCCTGCGCCCTCGGCCTCTATATGAAGTCTAGGCAAATAGTGTTTTTTCGGATGCAACCCCTCAAATTGGAACCCAACGCTTATTTCAATAAAACTCCTATCGCTGTGTTTAGTGAACAAAATAATTATAAAGAAATTACAGATTTAAAAGATTCTTTGGAAATGCTTGGAGCCCATCCCATTATAGACTTCGATGGAAATTTTTCTAGTCTTCTTGATATGGAAAATTTTGGGGCGTTCAGCTTAAAAGATAGTCTCATACCGTATGGCAAGATTATGGCCTATTATAATAGTACATACACTCATAGTTTACCTATAATCGTCAATTTATTGGACAATAGTATTTATAGGTGAGTCATCGCGTCATATTCTTGTAATAAAAATTGTTTGAGTAGATTAAAAAGAGCTTTATCAAAATAATATAAGAATGATATCATGAACACACATCAGAATAATTAAAGCTTCAAATTCTATACAGTAGTTTTCAGTTAATCAAAGTTCCATTGTAAATTAACTATGTTAATTTTACTTTATTTACAAACAGGGTATTAATGTCAACGTCCGGAATGCTAGAAAGTTTCAAACCAATTGAAGTGTTTGCTCATCCGTTTCAACAGACAGAGCAACAAGAAGAATTCAATGTGGGTAATGTGGTTTGTGCGATATTTATGGGCATGATCTTCGCTCTTGTTCCCGTCACATTAGCTGTAGATATCGTCTATGATAGAGAGGTAAGAAAATATCATCAAGATAAAACTAAAAAACTTCAGTATTAGACTAAATTTACTTTATCTTTATTTTTTGTGGTGTTCAATATATGCCATTAAACATAAGAAAATATTACTAAGCCATATTTCATACTTCAACAAGCTTTGAATATCAGGAAATTACACTCCTGAAGTAATTTGATAAAAGGCATTGCAGAAATCTATACACAGAGTTAATATAACTTATTGATATTATATTAGTATGATAAGTTACAGACGTTATGGTTTTTTAGATCAAAGCCAAGAACCAGTTACGTGTGAATGGTTTGTCGATGAGCATGTATTTTCTAACTTACTTCACTATACTCATCTTTATTATGATTATCACCAGTGCTGGAGTTTTAGTCCTTGTAAGTAGCCACTTATACTTTGTATATAAAATACATATTTGGTATTGTTTTTAGCTATAATAATATGCAATCTTTTTAGGTAATTCTCAACGACATACCGAGCTTAACTAATGGTTCAGCCATCACGATGCTCTCTTTCCTGTTGATACTGTACAGTCCGTCAGCCATATTATTCAATACGTGTCTATCGTACGTGTTCGACAAAATGGACTCGGCGCAGAGTATCATGCCCAACATTACCACATGGGTCGGCGTAATACCATTTATATTAGTTGCTGTTCTTGATACTTTTAAGTGGGGTAAGTATTCTTTGATTATAGGTCAACAGTAGATTTATAACAAGACTATACTCTCAAAATCAACATTCGATAAATCGTGGACATATTCTATTTATGAGGTCCATATTGAGTTATGATACTTTCTTGTTTCATTTTATGTCTTTTCTAATATTATTTATGATTAATTCAGCTTAATTAAGAACTCTTTGTTTAACTAGATATTTTCATTATTTTCAGGTAGTGATATCGCCTTCTATTTACATTTGGTGTTCAGTTTTCTAGATGTTATGTATATACCTTATGCCATCATCTACTATGTTGATAGGTGAGTATTTTAATAACAAACAATGTATTCAATCTTGATTGAAACTATTTAAATGTAAATAACGCTGGAAGATACTTTCATGCTTTAAACCCAATCCGATTCATTAAATCGATAAGACTATAAAGTATACATTTTTTTTTTGTTGTAAACTGATGCCAGTAACTTTTTATAGTAAAAAAATTTAACCAGTGAAAACCATCGTCTCGCGTATATCGCTGTTTCGCCAAAAGTTCCGGTTTGCATAATGATTATTTAGCATTTGATAATCGTGTCTATTTGTACTCGTAGAGTTTACCTGACGTGTAACCTGCGCGGTCTGTGCACTACGCCTGATCTGTGGACATATTTCACGGCGGAGGTGTGGGTGCTAATAGTCGCCATGTTGCTGCACGTGCCACTCTGCGGCGCAGCACTTCTCGCCGCAGATAGACTTAAGTCCGGTGGTCGACTCTGCCCGGTCAGTTCCAATGTCAGCAGTATTTTATTGATGTCATCGTAACACTGATGTAGCTGAAAATATGTATTAATCGAATTATCTTATCGTCTTAACAATACTGTTGAAGTCAAAGTCAGAATGTTTTTTATTTAGCTTTAATAAATAAAAAACCTTTGGATTGTCCATCTTTTTTTTCTATCACCCCATTCAGGACGGACCTCTGAATTTTACTAATTACCTATTAATGAATTCAATAGATGACCCGGTTTCTGAAGTGAGAATTTAAAATTAAGTACGTCTCAAACTGTACTTAAACTGGTTTTCGTTTCTGATTTTAGCTTTTTTAAAGATCAGTTGATAGCAGTTTGGTAAAGCTAGGACTTTTTGACTTGTGAAGCGTAAAAAACTTAAATTATTGAGAATATTCTGTTGAGATTTAGTACTTTTCTCAATTCAGAAACCGGCTGTTAGTAGTTCGACTGAAAAGTGGTTATTACGTAGACATAAAGTAATTATCGTTAAGCATTTTCTTATATCAGCGGAAACGCTCTCGGTCTGAGGGCATGGCGGAGGTAGAAGTTGAAGCTGTGGCGGGGACGGAGGCAGGAGAAGATGAGGATGTGAGGAGAGAGAGACGGAAGGTGGCCGCACTACTCCACCAGCCCACAGCCAGTGGTCCCGTGCTTGTAGTACATGTTAGTACACATTGCTTATCTTATTTCAACAACGTTCTGTTAATAGGACATAATATGCAAAGCTTGCCGTAAATGACAGCACTAGTACATAAGTAAACAAAATGAAAACACAAATATGCTGCAATTATTGATATTGGATAAAATTATTATTTGTGACCATCAATAATTTAAAAAAATATAATTATTCCTGGCTATGCTTACCTACTATATTATTTTTCTCTTTGCTCTTGTGAGTAACGTTTATAAACGTTATTCACAAAGGTGATAGATGCTTGCAATTTGGTAATCTAGTAACAAGAACTATGTATGTAAGATTTGTTATTGACATTGACTCGCCATAATTTCGCATACACAAGCAGAATTAAGGCCTAGATATAATCACTTCAGTATAAATCTTCTCTATTAGAACCTTCGTAAGGAGTATAAAGTGCGGGGCACTGCGGCCGGGTGTTGCGGTGCGGAAAGTGAGGCGAGGCGCGCGGGATTGAAACGGCTGAGCCTAGCCGTGCACGGAGGGGAGGTGTTTGGCCTGCTGGGACACAACGGTGCTGGGAAAACCACCACTATGAAGATAATTACCAACGAGGAAAGACCCACTTGCGGCACAGTACGATAACTTATTAAAAACACTCCTCGTTCACTAACGGGTCTTTTTTTTATTTTTACGCGTTTGCTATATATTTGTTTTCTACAACTTAATCTTTTGATTTATCATCAGGTGTCTTTTATTCACTTTTATCATCTTTCTATATTATTTCTTTAACTGTTTTTCACATCTCTTTACTCAGCCCGCTTGCTTTTTGTTTTGATCGCAGCTCTAATTTAACATAACCGATTGATTTATTAAGGGTCGTAACATTATTCTAACTGCAATTATGCAAAAAATCTTAAAAGATATTATGCCAACGTATACTGTATGCCAAAAAACAATTATGAGTATTAGAAACGCTTTTGCCATTGTGTATTAGATGTGAATAAGAATATTAAGCAAAAAGAAAAAAACATTTTTTTTTACATTTCGGTTGTTTAAACAAAAAGCGCATCATAGGCACAACACTTTAGCCTCTATTTTCTGTACTTAGGTGATGTTAGGTGGACAGAACGTGAGCGATTCCCAGACATCTACGTTCCAAATGCTGGGATACTGTCCACAGCACGACGCCCTTTGGAAGAACGTCACCATTCGGGAGCATATAGAATGCTACGCCGCTATCCGAGGGGTCAGCAAAGCTGACACGCCTAGGTAAAGATTTGGACTTGATGTTTTATAAATATTTGTACGTTTTATTGATCTTGATTGACTGATTTGAGAATGACTTAAGATTACGTATACGTTTCTTTAGTGTTGAGACTTAAGAGCTGATAAGTTGATGATGAATGATGACCCATTAATGTTACGAATGTTATATCCTTCTTTTCTTCAATTGTTTCTTCTGATTTTTATTTGTATTTTGTCTTTTGAATCTAATCGTGAACTTTGGTGTTTTATTCCATATTTACTACCATTCTCACAATTTTATTACATCTGCGTGCGATTTAAATTTGTGCGATAAAAGATATTTGAATGTATGAGTACAGCAACTCATCATTTTATTCAAATCAATTTTCTTCAACTGATATTGAAACTAAATTAATTGAACGGTATTTGGGAACTGTAATATATTATGTGTACAGTAAAAAAAATGTACATGCATTCCAATCAGGATCGTAGACGCATATCTGAACGGGCTGCAAATAATGGAGCACGCAGGAAAACACGCAGATGAGTGCTCTGGGGGTACTAGGCGTAAGCTTAGCTTCGCACTGGCGATGGTGGGAAATCCTAAAGTTGTACTTCTGGATGAACCTTCCACCGGCATGGATCCTCGGAGCAAGAGATTCCTCTGGGACACCATCCTGGCTAGCTTCCAGGTACAAAGATGTATTACTACTGAATTAATAGTGTTTATTGTCTACAATATACTCAGTTAGTTCTAATTGTATTGCATCCTTGGTCATGATTTCGATCGTTGTCATTTAACAACTTTCGCAAGGGTCGGTCACGGGATGGGTGACCAAAAAATTATTATCTCGAGCTACTCCGTGCTTCGGAAGGCACGTTAAGCCGTTGGTCTCGGCTGCATTTGTAGTCGTTATTACCCGCCAATCCGCATTGGGCCAGCGTGGAGGGTCATGGCCCATGCTCCTTTACCATCCATAGGATCCATGATGATGATGATGCCGTAAATCGGTTAGAATATTGTTTAAGTTATCCAATGTAATAAAAGTTTGAAAATTATTTTGATAACCAATTTTAATTTTTGGAGGTAGTATATAAGCTCAACTAAATAAACTAGTTTCATTATAATACAAAGATAAGTAGTAACTTAATGTAGTTGTGATTAGTTTTGATTCTAAGTAACGGCCGTTATTTTAAGTACCTAATGTTTTTGTTTAGGGTAAAAAAGGTGCTATTTTGACAACACATTCCATGGAAGAGGCTGATGCTTTATGTTCTAGAGTCGGTATAATGGTTAAAGGTGGTTTAAGGTGAGTAACCCAACACTTACTCTTGTCTACCTTTAAAATAATATTATAGAAAGTATATAACATAATCATGCAAAGAGAAACAATGAAAATAATATTGACGTGATAAAATAGTTACCAAACAATAAAAATATTTGTAATGTCTTTATTTTCCAGGTGTATTGGTTCAACACAACATTTGAAGAATTTGTATGGTGCAGGATACACGTTAGAAATGAAAATTGGGCAAAGCAATCAAAAGACAGTAAGAAGACTAACGGTCGGTTGCACAAACGTTCGATAAGGTTTAATGACGCCTTTAAGCTCAAATGAATATCAAATTTGTATGGGTAATGAAAAAAAAAATTTTTTTTCATTACTTTAAAGTTTAAACTAATGAATATTGGACATTTGTGCAACTGGCAATTATTATTGATAAATTTGGACCACAACATATAAAAAATGTATTAATATATTATGACTTTGATACTCATAAATTGATCAAGACTGACAATGACTTCGCATCTTATACTGAGAAAAAAATAGAAACACATTCGACAAATGTCGAGTATTTTTTTTTATAACCATATATTATTAATCTTAGTTTTGGAGCTATGAAATTCCATATAAATTAGTATCACTGCGACCTAAGCATAAACTATTTATTTGCATCCAGAGCCAAGTAGCCACCAAAATATCAATGTATATATAAAATCCTTATAAGCCTATCACGTCTTTTATTGACTATATATTTTGGGCTGTTTATGTGTGGTCCCAAATGTACGCTGCATTTGTGAATCAGTGTCTGCAGTCACATAGATGTTTTGCTATTTCAAGCTTAAATTTCCAGAATATTAAACATATATATTTTGCGTAATCAATAAATTACGGCGATACATTTGTTTGAAATTTTGCGTGACGTCACACTGTTCTACATTTTCTACATAGTTGTGACGTAGCGAGCGATTATTTCAATTTGAATGCATATTCAATAAGTTATTTCTTGTTAAATTGAAGCTAAAAAACGTACGAGTATCTTATATTTTTCTATTGTCTAACTGACAGATTAAAGGGAATTTCATTTTTTTTAACACAAGCATTATCCCTAATTTTTGTGCTACTAGATTTCATATGAAATTGATATCTATTTATGGCTAAATTTTAATCTTATTGAATTTTCAGATAGAACCAGATTTATCGATGTCACCTTCACCACTTCGTTCCGCAGAAAATTCACCGTCTTTAGGCGAAGCTGATGAAGGTAGATGCATAATAGTTAATGGAATTATTAGTCAGTGGGATTTTGCAAAGGCAGCTGCTGCCGAAAAGAACACTGAAAAATATATTGGTATATTAGAATTAAAATGTTCTGCTGTTCCAATAGTAATAAATTAAATTTATTGATATACAAAATCTATTTATAGTGAATTTTAAAATTTCAATTGTGCAACAAATTCACCATAAACAATCGATAGGCCCAGGTTATCCAAAACATTATTTATTCCGACAGACTATTAACCTAATCAAATTAAAGTTCAAAATACATCCCAGAAAATTCACATTTCAAATAGGATATTATTTTGAACGTAACTTTGCTGTATCAGATTTTTGTTTTGTTTGTGGCAGGCGGTTCAGGTGGCGCTTCAGCGTGTGGTGAGGCAGAGGCAGAGGCAGAAGCGGAAGCAGAGGCAGAGGCGGTGGATATCAGTATACACACACCGCTTGTAGCTGGCACTCCGCCGCATGCGCGTGCGCATCATCGAAGGTCAGTGCAATTAATGATTTGCTGGCCCTGATCTCAAAACGAGTTGAACTAATATTATAATTGGAATATTACCGAGAAATGAAATATTAAAATTGCAATATTACCGATAATCGATTTTAAGAACACGAATTTAAATAAAAATAATTATCAAATTAAGTACCGAAAGCACTTGTATTATGGAAATCTAAAACAATGAAGTTATCAAAAAACACCCAGATCCGAGACAATATAGAAAAGTTCGTTTTCTACATTGATCGGGAATCGAATATCGAGTACAGATGGCGAAACGCTGAAACCGGTGTGCTAGTCATTCGGCCATGGACTCGAAAAGAATATATTGAGATATATTACTTATTATTAAAGCGTTTGTTTTAATAATTAATAATTATAATATTATAATGACGATTAAGTATAACAAGAAAATATTTTATAAACTATTTTGATGAAGAATAAGAAAACATCATTTACGAATTTATAATGTTATAAAATACTTTGTTATAGAACGGAATCAAGTGGTGGTGGATTGAGCGCAGAAGCAGCCATAGCTTTAGTTGGACAGTTGTTCCCATCCGCCATATTAGAGGAAAATTTCGCAGAGAGACTTGTGTTCTCAGTACCTCAATCAGCAGTTTCCAGTCTAGCTAGATGTTTCCAACAGATTGAAGATGGTGAGTAATATCACAGTTTATTGCTACCAAAAGTCACATTTTGGGACCCAAAGAATATATTTCTTTTAACTTACGTTAAAGATGCTTGGGCGCCTGTTGTTATATAATAGAACACCATTAGTTTCGGCAGCAAAAATGATAATAGGCATCAAAAATAATGCAAACACGTTGGGCGCCAAGAATATGCGTATTTCGTTTTGAACACTGGAAATTAAAAAATCTATTCTAACTTAACTAGTTGCATAGTGCAATAAAATAAATTCAAATATTAACAATTTGGGAACCAGTCAAAACGGTAACATGTTGGGCGTCAATATAAAAACATTCAATTTTTTAAATACAATGGATGTGCTAGGTGTTAATATTCGGAAGCCATATTTATTAAAAGCCAACCAAATATAATACCGTTAGCACCGGAAATTAATTCACAACAAGCTAAATACGTGATAATGTAATTTTTAGTTACTGCTTAGAAATTATTAAATAAAATAATATCTGACTAAGGTTTTTTTTCCACAGCAAAAGAAAAATTGAACATCATCGAGTACAGCTTCAGCCAGACTACACTAGAACAGGTGTTTCTTAAGTTTGCACAATCCGAAAATGTGGAAGTATCAGATCAAGAACATTAGACTACAAAAAACAGAAGAAGCGACTCTTTTTTATATAAATAGGCAAGGGCCTAAACTCTTATAAAGGTATAACCGGATTAATATAGCGTGTTTGTTGCTAGATGAACAGTTTAATATGTAGAAAAAAATAACAGATTCCATTAAAAGCCATTTTGACACTGAAAGTTACATGGCGCAAACAAGTGGTTGAACCAGGGATGTTTTAAATGTCACCATGTCGTCATCCAGTCACCCAGTGGCAGTCGTGTTATCTTTGACTTTGTGACTGTTATGATAATTGCCCAGTGGACGTCGAATTACATCATTTAATTTTTTGAAAAATCTGACAGCTCCTTTTTAGAAAATATTTCTTAACACAACAACAAGAATATGGGGGTGTTACCACGTTCTGTTTATTTATTTATTTTGTACACACATACAATTTCCCATGAAAAAATGTAACAGACATTAAAACAAGGGCACTACTTATTTCAAATTGAAATGTCTACCAGCAAGCGAACAATAGGAAATAAATACAGTAGGCAGTTTATAAAATTAATATGGAATATATAAAAAAATACAAATACTAGGAAAGAGGAAAAAAACTTACATAAATGTGCAAACATTATATAAATAATAATATCTACACTCTCCGATATCATCAAGAAAGGAAGGTAATGATCCTTCACTATTTTTTGAACAAAGAAATAGTGCGACTGTCATATATACCAGTAGGTAGAGTTCCAGAGTCTAGCAGCATGAACAGTGAATGAATATCAAGCAAAATCTGTTTTGTGTGAAGGTGTTAATACAGAACAGGACAGTGTTTTGCACACATATGGCTGTTACATTGTTTTTACCTTATTCCAAGATGCATTGTGAGACTTTAATTATGTGACGTGTGAATATTGAATAAATGACGCATCCAGATATTTTTCTATTAAGTAAAGCCTCGTTGATGCAAACACACGTGTCTAAAGAATATTAAATAGTATAATAATACCTATAAGCTTTGTAATGGAAGTCATAGGAGTATATATACGATATAAAGATCAACATGATTGGAAAATTACACCGATTATAAATAGATTCTTATTTGCCTGGATAAAACCGCTTGCTTATGCCTTTACTGTAAGCATAATCTTATGAGCAATAATCACAATATTCCTACATTAACTACTTAGTAATATCAAAATATTATTAAGTGAAAATGTTGTGACAGAACCTTGTTGAAATTCAGTAAATCTAGTTTTACACTTCGATCGCAGGAATGCCTTTTTCATAATAGGATAAAGCTTACTGTAAATAACAATATTCTAGAATTAGTGTTAATTTTATAACCTATTAAATGGAGGACGCGATGGCGGTAAAGCTTAAACAAGATGGTGGCTAATGAATTTTGTAATTCGTTAAATTTAAATTTAGAGAGATATAATAAATATGTTGGGATATCGCCGAGTCAAATAAATCGTTATCAAAACATTTCAGTTAGTGATTAACATGAAAAAGAAATTGTATAAATAATAAAATAGCTTCTGATTATACATATTTAGTGTATATCGACCACATGGAGTGTACCTAGCCGCCATTTTAACAAAATGGCGGGTATGTTTTTATGCGCCAAGTTATTGATATGTAGTTTATTTTGTTGAGTTTTTATAAGCTTATTTATAAGGTTTCCGGTTAACGAGAGAATATTAATTAGATATCGTAGCATATAAAACGAATTGACTGTGTGAAAATTTTTATATATAATTTCTTACTTTATTAGCAAGTTTTGTAAGCCGTAAATGTTTTTAGATATTAAACTTGACTAGCAATATTGAATCTTATCATTTAAGCAAAGATATATCACAAATTAATTGTTATTGGTATAGAAATTGACATTTGTCATTAAAATACTCTCGATTTGATAATTAACTTACATACATATGTACGTTTTGGAATGCAATTTCTAATTAACTCAAAACGCAAATTAATTATAACAAGTGATTTGGAGTGGTCTGTGAGATGAAAATAAGCTACAATACGTATTATATCAATATTAACAAGGAAGCAATTAAAGTTAAACAAAATATTTTGTTATCGTATAACAAATAATATCTTTGTATCAGTTCAGATCATTGGCTCACAAAACACTGACTCATTTTAATAAATAATAACAAGTCAGTGTTCAGTGAAGCGATAAGAATAATATTTCACATAATAATTTGCCACATTAAGACGTTTTAAAAGCCTCCCATTAACTGTGGTCGAAAAACTTATTTTTGAATTGGAATAAAGATTGTAACAGATAAGATGACATTTATTATACCTATATATTTGACTACACATTATGTTGTTTACTTTAGAATCAACACTGGCGAAACGATTTGCATATGAAAGAGAAAATTTTATAAGCTCTTAGTACCAACCAAGACACATACTAGTTTTAACTAGGATCAAACCAGAAAGTTAATAGACGCCATAAATATTTTAGACTTAATTTTTGTTTTGGGCGCCAAACTGTGGAATGGAACCTTTAATAAATATACTTGAAAGTAGAGGCTAAAGTCACAAATTTTAAATGAAGATTGGAAAATAATCAAACAAGGAATTAAATAGGGAGAAAGAGACATCTAATATTATAAAAAATTGATATTACAATGACATTAACTTGTGATATATTAATACTTGTGATAGGGTTCAAACGCAGTGTTTTTCTTTAAATGAAATTGATAGTGATTGCAGTAACAGTGTATCTAAATTTGCGCAGCTGACATATTTATATAGATTTTATTTTGAATATTGTGATTCTAGTCAGTTAATAATGTATGACGTCACTTTCAAATAAGTTTCCAAAGCGGTTTCCACCGTAGTATCTGTAATATTTATTTCATTGTTTATTGTGAGTTTTGATTCGTAAATTTGTAAAACAGATGACATCAATATAAACAATATTAATATGTAACCTATACAAGAAAAAATGCTTTAATGGACACTGGACTAAGTTTCCAAGCACTTTTTCTTGTGAGCTATGTTGCCATCTTCTGATTGGCTCAATAACTCAGACTAGGCTGTAATAGATAGATCACTTTGTCTTTAATTAAAAATTTACATTAGCTACATACACTACACATAATTGAAAGTGTCGTCAATATAATAAGATTATTTAATTAAGGTGTTTTTACAATAATATTAGATATTTGTTGCTTTAACAATCAAACAAAAAAAAGCGACTTTTATATCCAGAATTGTTGAAATATGTCAAAAATCATAGGAAACATATAAAACAAACAAACTTAAGTATGAGATGAATCGCACAGCAGCTAATGTTGAAATCTGATGCATTTTTAAGAAATTGGAACTTGAAAGAAAATATTACATTATAAAACTATAAACACGCAAAATTAGTAGATTATATACTGTTGCATAATAAGGGTTCTTATAACACGAGTTTTTTTATAATATCACACGAGTGTTATAAGACCAAGTTATGTACAGTGTCATACATTACTTTATCTACTCTCATACTATAATACGTAAAACAATATTGCAAATAAAACGTTGACTATAATAACATATTTATTTTTACTTGTAATAATTATTGATGTTCTCAATATTACAATTATGAAACTGAATTTGAACTGGACAGGAAGCGTTATTGGATGTACTCGGAAAGGGAACCTATGTTAATGTTGACCTCATTTCTGTTATTTTCAATACTTTTAAGTATTGAATTGGAAACAGCGATCTTGTTAGTCATTGAATCATCTATATAGCCTTCTGCAACTGTCGTTAACTTCCAACCACCGTGTCATTTTAGTGCCGTTATATCTCCACCAACACAACTAGCAAGGTCGCAGATGTTCGGCGAAAGCAGTGTCCTGTGTACAATTCGGGGTCGGTAAGTTGAAGATAGTTGGCAATAACTTTGCCTAAAGCTCCTTTGTTAATGCCAACTATCTGCGTCGTGCATTCTTCGGCAATATAGTTTAGAAAAAAAAACTGGGATTGTTGCACTCAGTTGGTCGTAGCTCTATGTATTTTTTGCATTGTTCATAATATTTCCAAGTAATGGTAAAAGAGCGGTCTATCTTGGTTTTAATTTTACTTATTTTGATCAATAGTGTAGTTTCGAAGACTTCAACATCTTTGAATTGTATATTGTATAACTCTTGTTTTCGGCAAGCACCCAATTATACCAAAAAATTGTGCAATCTGTAACAATTCATATATATATCACGGTAAATTAACTCAACATCACCTATAAAAATTTACATGGCTAACTGATAAATAACTAAAAATACCTCTGTGAAGAGATATAATGTGTCTGGGGCTTCATTTAAGAACTTATTTATCTGCTCTGCTGTAAAAGTCTTGGATTTTTTTTTTTATATCCTTGTGAGTTTCGTTTCAAAAATGCAGCTTGCTATATTTAGGTATATCGATTTCATTGTAAATATTGTGTATTAAATATTGAGTTTTAATCATGGAGTAGGTATTTAATCCACATATTTGATACTTTATATTGTTCAAATAACTGTTGAAAGTACGCTAACAACACATTTTCAGAAAATGATGTAGCATTTTTATTCATTTTCCATTCCATGAATTCGTGGTAATATTTATTATAGTTGCTCCTAGATTTCGCCGGCAACAGGTTCATGGTCATGTTTGACGTAGCTTCCAGAATGTCTGGTGGTGTACAATCACCACTATCCCCGTTTTCAGACATGTTTTTACACAAAAACTTTTTATTTTACAAACAAAACCAAACTTTGTTTAATTATTGAAAAGATTTTTAAATCTCAAATGTTGGTGCCAAGGCGCAAACATCAATTGCGCATGCGTGTTGCGTCGCCGCAGACTCGTTCATCAAAACCTTTTTTTAAAAGTAGAGGTTCAACCTCCTTGGTCCAGCTGGAGGTTATATAGGTGTATCATTATATTAAAAAGTTAAATTATGTTACAGGGGTCCATACAAGACCTGTATCATAATAAAACGTTTTATTTTTTTATTTTTGGTCTGTACGTAATGT